ATCAACTTTTCTTCCAAGAAATTTCCTTCCTGTGATCTGCATGTGACTCCGCCGAAACCATGAAAATTAGTCAGATTTTGAAGTGACTGGATTACGATGTCCTTATCTGTTACGGCTATGAGACATAAGTCATTCTCAGCAAGGAAGTCGGTCTCTTTGGATCTTTTTTAGCAGTACAGCAGATTTCATCTTTAGCTCAATACGCTGGTTTTATGTTGGCCTCTGCTCGATTGAGGTCACTGTTATTGACAAGGCACTATTTCTGCCCATGCTCTCCATCCAGTTTAATGTTGTTTCTGTTGGGTTGGAAACAGGCTTGTAAAGGCTTTGACAGTATGCTGCATGTTCTATCACTTGGACGTCAGTTCATGTCGTTCGCAATGCCGACTCGATTTTCTCACAAGTTTATTCTCTTTTGACATACTGTTTTCGAGTTCTGCTTCGTGTTATTATGGACTTATCCCTTCTGGAAATACCGCATTGTTATTAGTTAACCAGGGCGATGTCAATGGACTGCTCACGAACTGCTTGGCTGTACTAGGCATAGTTGGGTTTAAGACTCCTGTTCTTCAACATGAAGCGGCAGACTTGTCTTATCTTCGTTCGCATGATATCGCTCTTTTAAAATCGGAGAGATGCTTTTATTTTACAGCATATTGTATATTATGCTGAAATATCTCTTGCCATCGTGGTTCAGCACAAGCGAAAAATGCAACTTTCATCAGGCTTGCATTTCTTCCATAGACGTCATAGTAAATACATATAAATAAACAAAAGATTGAACTCGCAGTCGAGAAAAAGTCCATATTCTGTGTTAGGGTGGAATTAATTACGTTCGAGGAAAAATGCTCGATTCCATTTGACCGATCCACCCTTCTAAAAGTTACACAATACCAAGCCAGTGAGTGTTCCAAAGAAGTCTCTTCTTGCTATCACACATTTTTACTACCTAAGCCACCATAATGAGCCTCAAAATCTTCTTATCCTTCAAAAATGAGTACCAAAAAAGACAAAGGAGACTAAAATCGTCGTTTCAGGCTTCTTAGTCTTCGCCAGCCAGCCATACCCAGTTGTGGATTCCCATGATAAGCAATCTGAACCCAGAGTCCAACTATCTACTACAAAACGCAAGGCCTTTATCCTATTGGTTGCATTCTTGAATATTAGTTATGTACGTGCGATTAGTTGATGATGGTTTATAATCCAAAAATGACCATTCCAGTCTCCCTCGACTTATTCCTTACTCTCCTTTTATATATAATACCAGTTGTTGTGCGATTGCCTT